ACATATATGTATATATGAAGGAAATACACAAAAATATAAATTATGGTTATTTCTGGTAGCTAGCTTTTTATACTTCTCTGCAATGAGACATAGTACTTTTATTAACAACAACAAAATCCCTAACAAGCATTTTTTAAAGGATAGGAAGGGCTAAGATTAATAACTGGATGCTGGAGTTTGTCCTCTATATGCACCCAGGATGCCTGGTGGGAAACGGAGTTCTTAGCCTCTCATCAGGGTCTCAAAGTTAAAAAAAAAAAAACTAGCCAAAGAGTGAATTTAGCTGATTTGCACATGGGTCAAATTAGGAGCAGAGGAACTGGCAACTTTGGTTGTAAAGGTCCAGAGCCTTGGCCTGTGCTGGGCAGGAAGAGGGAAAATCCAGGGTCAGGGTGAGAGGGGCCTAAAGGCTTCTTCACTGAGCTCCACTATGTAGAGATGGGAGGGACACACCAGGGGCATCCTGGAACACAGAAGTATGTGTACAGACTTCGCACAAGATAATCCCTGGAAAGAGAGGAAGCCCCATTCAAACTTGGTATTAGTCCCTGGTGGTTTGGAAAGGAAGGGTTTCCAGAGCAACTCCAGGTGGCACAGATGCTCCTTGTAGAGGCGGCTTTCATGACATCAGAGTTTCTGAGAGGAAGGACTTGGTCTCGAGGTCAAGGACCTTCCACACACACAATCCCTTCTCCTCAGCTACAGTCAAGGGCAGAGGGAAAGGTTTCTGATAACTTGAAACCATAAAGTTACATGGAGCAAACATTTTCAAGGATATCACCCACACTGTCCAGGTTCAGACTTCAATCAGAACATTCCCTGATGAGAGGGATAAATGGAAAAAGCAAAGGTGGGGAGCTTGGATACTGCTGATGGTGGCAGGCTTCCTTCTGGAAGGGACACCTGGTCTGTCCCTGTAGAGGAGCTCGACTTTGGACTTCCCTGTGCTGCCCAGTCAGGCACCCCACAGGCCCATCCCTTGCCCATCTCCTCCCAGCACTATGTGAGATGGAGAACTCTGAGCTCAGTGTGCAGCAAATGTACCTTAGATCCCAGAAGCCCTTAAAGCAGAGTAGTGTGCATGAAGGAACAAAACAAGAAGCTATGAAAATTAATCCTTGAGAAGGGTTTGACCTAACAATATGATTTACACACGTTCAACACCCTCCCCCGACCCCCACTCTGTGTCTCAGTTTTTAACCCTGATGACAACAGCAAGGAGAATTTCCAGTCTGGATTCTGGCTTGAAACTTGAGCTGTGAAAAATATTTTTACAAGCCAGTTATGATATTTACAGAGCTTTCTGGGTATAATAGAAGGATACAGACACAGCACATAGTCCCTACTCAAGGCAAAACTCCCCTCCCCATCTAATGGGGCAGGTGCCATCCTTTCCCTGAGAAGTCACTGATGTCAGTGGGCAGGTAGGGAAAAGCACGCAGGCTGCCTGCAAGACAATCCAGAGACTGACCACTGGCCCCTGCCTTTGTGCCTAAGCCCCTAGCATGATGAACCTCCTGGTCCTCAAGGTACGTATCATTCCCCTCATTTTGCAGATGGTAGATTTTACAGGGACATGTTGCATGGGGAGTAAATAACTCACTCAGGGTCATACAACCAGAAAGTATAGAGCTGAAGTTTAAATCTTGGTCCTCTATAGACATGGCCTCCCACAGGCAAAGCCCAGTAAAAAAAAAAAAAAAAAAAAAAAAAAAAAAAACAACGGAAAAAGGCAAAAAAAAAAAAAAAAAATCAGGGGATAAAGGCAAAAAAAAAAAAAAAAAATCAGGGGATAAAGGCAAAAAAAAAAAAAAAAAAAAAAAAAAAAAAAAAAAATCACTGGATACAGGCAAAATACACAAAGCAACATTTGGCTCAAATAGTATAAATACTATTATTTCCCCCTCCTGATGAACAAAGTGGGACACACCTGAGTTCAGAAGCCAAGAATGTCCCATGCTCTGTGTATTGTGTGTGTCATTTTCTCACTATCCCTGTGCCCAATAGAGCATGGCATGAATCAGGGACAAGTGTAGGCTGATTATTGTCTTAGCTATGAGACTGGCAATTGAGCCGCACCCCTGCCTCTGAGGCTTCCTAATCCATCAGGATGAAGCATTAGGAGTGTACAGTCAGATAAGTTACAGAAGAGAACACCATTGGCAATTTGCAGTTAAGATTCACTTAACAGTCTGTTGCAAAATAGCTATGTTCTTATGAATTCGTATAAAGCTATCACCTAAATAAATATGTTCTTCGTCTATGGCTGTGTTTATCTCACTGGATGTCTAGCCTTATCTCCCATGTACACAGTAACTGCAGAACATCTCAATATGCCTCGGGGAACTTTATTATGAGAGTAAAATATTAGAACATGGCTTACGGTATGTTTATTTGAAAGCAACTTTAGCTGCTAGAGGGAGACAAGGGAATCTCAACATAACCCCTCTCCAAAAATGCTGAGCAAATCTGGTTGATAAAAGTCACAGTCCTATAAAAAAAGAGTCTCTCCCTGATTCTTACCCTTAATGGAAAATGCCAAAGATAAGCATTTCTGGACACATACTGGAAGATGACAAATATGGCCAGAGTGTTGCCAACTCAGCGTCCAGAAGATGAGCAGTTGAAGCATAGAAAAGACCTTAGTTCTAAAGACACAGAGGACTCTTATAGTCACCAGGGGAGTATTTCAAAACCCCGGCCTTGTGCTGGTGCAAGTACAAGAAAGAACACAGAAACCCAAAGGCATTGGGATAATTGGATATGAGCTTATTATAAATCCTAAGCTAATAGGAAAGATCAATAGCATTTTATTCCTCCACTTAAAACATTTTTCCCACCAGTCATTCCATTAGCTCAGATTTTTAAAAAAGTCAGTTCATGAATTGCTGTCATTTTAAAAAATTAAGAGTTCTGTAGCTGGGCATTTAGTCCACACTTATAATCCCACCACTTGGGAAACTGAGGCAAGATTATGAATTTAGAGTCAGCCTGGGCTACATGGTGAAATCTTTTCTTACAACGACAAAAAGTTGAGAGTCATGTACATGTGTTGTTACTCTGTTGGCATGCCTATTGGGTATATCCACTCATGTCTTCCAGGGCACGTGTGTGCATTTCTCAGGATTCCAAGAAAACCATGTACTTAGTCTGTCTTACATGGGTTTTATTTATGACATCAAACTATTTTCAAATAGATTTGCAGATGCACAGAGCCAATCACAACGTGAGGTTGAAAAAGGCATAAGAACTTTCTATAGAACCTAATGAAGATGTATAGTAAAATTACTCAAGCCACTTCCAGTTAGGTCCAGAATATAAAATAGACATGTATGTGAGGGATACTTTAGACTCAATGTCATAAAAAGGTACACTCATCATTTAATAGATGGAGACAATGGTTAAGGACCTCTTTGAAGTCAAACAAACCTCAGTTTGGAGCTCACCTCATCCATCATCCACTTGCCAGTTGTGTGATCCTGGGCAGGACTTCCCCAGGTCTCTGCCTGTAAAATGAAGGCAATGATACTGACCCCCATAAGGCTATGACATGGGTATGTGGTGATGCATGTAAGCACTCAGCATTTGGCACATGAAAGTTTCAAAATTTTATAAACTATTAGTAACAGTAAATGAAGAGCAGCAGAATGCAAAATTCAGTATTTCTAAAACTATCCAATTCTACTATTGAGATAAATTCTATGGACCTTATAGCACATGTATTAAGAAGCCTAGGAATAGTAGCAAAGATGTTATGAGACTATTGAGTGAACACCACTGTTACATGTCCCTCCGTCAATCATATTAGGATAACATTAGACTCAGAGAAATGTGCTTTCGAGTTCATGGGCCCCTTTAATCGTAGTGCAGTGACTGAATTGGGCACATGAGGGCCTTGACCGTGAGTGACTTAAATGTGCATTTAGATAGCTCCTGGCTTTCTTGCTAATCTTTTCTCCCACCACCATCTGGAATGTCTCCCACCTTCTCTGAGCTCAGGGAAGCTAGAATAAATGCCTTTCAGCTTGCTGCTGGAGTCTCCTCTCCTTAGCTGAAATTCTGACTGGTGGAGTTTCAACCTGGATTTCTCATTCCCATGTGGTAGGTGAAGGAGCCTTTGACGCCGTGGTGTAAGCCCCAGACAAACCTGAAGTCAAACTCAACTGACACTGCCCTTTTCCCTTACCTCGGATCCCTTGCTATTTAAACACTTCACTCTTGCAGTGGCTACTAGAAGAGTGCCATTTTTCTTAGAGAAACAATAATCCATTGTTTCACATAGATGCTGTGTCTCTGATCTGCCCACCCTCAGTTGCCCACCTTGTAATTCACTCCCCCAGACAGCCTTTCAGCATGCCCAGACCAGCCCCACACCATAGGAAAACCATGTCACGGAATCTGGCCATGCACAAAAATCACAAATTCCAAGCCCATTACTGCTAAGCATCTATAGGAATGTGTAAACTTTTCTATATTTCTCTTTCTCAATTGAATGTTACAGTGAGGCTTGGTAGGGCGTGAGACCCTGAGAGAGTTTAAGAAGGGTGCTAACAAGGGTACTGAATACAAATGATCACAGCCAGTAGGACCTATTATTGACTGCATCCCTGTTGATACAGTTCCTGCTGCTCCTATTACATATGTGTCTGAGACACTGGGAGGTCACTGCAGGACTGGTCTGTGGGGTCTCAGGAGTTGAAAGGAGATGGACTTGAGTTCTGGCAGCAAGTGGCCAGTCAGTGATCCTCATCTGGATCCTGGACCTGCTTGGACTCTTCAGAACCTTCAGACCAAGGAATATCTTACCCAGCTCTGCTTCCTCTCTCCTCTCTTCTGAAAGAATGGTTATGTCTTGCAGGTTGCACTCTGCAAGACATTGGGTTACTAGGAGTAGGTTGCATTGATGATTTAACACTGTTTTCTATAAAGGGCGATGGGATCTCATGCAGATTTTTGCAAAGTCATATGCAAATCACAGAGCCCAGCCCTTTTCTTAACAGGATGGCAACCTTGTTCCTCGGTGGCACCTGGGACCTGGAGATCCTTTCTCCACTTACGTTTAGCACGCAGCCTGGGACTTGTCCCTGCAGCTCACCGGGTTAGCCGTGGCGCCGTTGGGATCTCCCACCAGGACTCCAGTCACCCAACTCTCTTGAGACTGCTCTGACAGGGCTGGTATGGGGTGCAGCCTTTGCTCGGAGGGCAACATGTTTCAAGCAAAATCTGCCCACCTGTGCTATGGGCTCACCCCGGGCCTCCCTGCTCCTCTCCTGGGTGCAATTTTGAGGTTGCTGAGCTTCGATCCAAAGTCCAAAATGGTGGGGCATCAGGGACTTCAAGAGGCCCCAGGGCCCCATGTATTTCCCCCAGTTCCCAACCTAAATCCCAGGGATCCCACACACATCAGACCCTCGTTGCCCAAAAAAAGTCTGCATCTCCAGTTTACAGGGTTAGCTAAAGGGGTACATTTAGCTTTCAGTTTCTCTTCAGGTTGACGTTTCTGTGAACAATGTCCCACTTTTAATCTGGAAAAGGCCATCTTGCTACTGTAACTTGTCTCCTCTACATCATGAGAATGAGGTGAGGAGCTTGAGATTCAGATGGTGAGGGTCAAATGCAGCCTTTCATAAACCCTGGCAGCAGCCACCTTCCCTCAACACATTCTGTTTGATGCAGTCTCCTCTCCACTCCTTTCTGAGACCTCTGGGGTGAGACCATCCTGCTAGTCCAATTTACTTCAAGTGATCCTGTCGGGTGGGGTGGGAGACAGGAAAATATCTCAATGAAACCAACTGACCACTTGTTGATAATTGTTGACATTAGATAGTAGGCACATGGGTGTTCATTATACTATTCTCACTTTTGTATATGTTCGCAATTTTTCATAATAAATTTTTTTAACATCCTCCAGCTTCCATAACATTCTAGAAAGAACCCTAACTCCTAAAAAAATTTCATGGACCCTCCCCCAACAAGGCAAGAGGCAGGGGTGATTCTATTTCATATAAATATATATATATATGTATATTATAAAAACATTCATTTTCTAACCTTTTTTTAAGGCCCACTGCTTTATTTTCAATAGACTAAACCTTATTTCTAAGAGGTCCCGAAGTTGGGCTCACTTCCCAGGCTGGGTGATGGGGGAGGGCAGGGAAGAGGGTCCTAAAAAGTTTACACTTCATGTATCTCACACTCTGACTGTGAGAAAGTGACTTGTTCAGTGTTCTGAACGTTGCGAAGGGTATGTGCTCGCAATGCAAAGTGTCATTCTCTGGAATTGCACCTGGCTCAGGAAAGGACTGTCTTTGTACTTGAACTCAAATCCAATGGAGAACCTTAACACGGGCATTTGCATGACTGGGAACTGCTGCTGTCTTTTTTCCATATGTCTCTTTCTTGGATGTGTTCTAATAAAATGATTCTAAAGCTGTTGATATATAGTGATTTATAAATAATTCCTGTTGAGCTCGGAGGCCCTTAGATTCTCTGCCTTCCCACTTTCTGGAAAAAATCCTGCCAAACTGAGGACAGATGCCTAGAGTGTGTCTGTCTCTATGGCATGATGGTGGCACCACTGCAATTGCAGTCATTAATAAGAATCATTTCAACCACGGCAATTTTAATTTTCTGGTTTCCTAGCAACAGAACTTGTTTTCCAGAACAAAGATGAATGGCCATCTGTAGATGAGAGTAGTGGGGGAAAGGCAGAAGGGCGGGGCCATCTCAGGAGTAGAATTCACTCTACCAGGGAGGGAGGGACTGTGGGGGAGAGGAGTAACGTGTAAGGAAAGAGAGGCAAAGGTAGCCCACAGCAGGCAGGCCAAGTTTAGAGTTGTCCCATGCACTGGTAGGTCTCAACACCTTCAGGGGATAATCAGTCATTTTTATTGTCAAATTTTGATAGCAAGTCATGGCACATTGCAAGATTCATTGGGAAAACATACATTCTCAGAAGTAGATATTTTGAAAAATGCTCCCTTCAGCCAAGACTGGGGCAGACATTCCCATGAACTAGTAACAACCTTAGGATCTAGTCCTTGGTGATTGGGGTGTCCTTAGAAACCTCATTGGCTAGCAAGTGTGTACAGGGACTGCAGAGGCAGAATCAGTCAAGGAGGCGTCCATTTCTTGAATGTTCTTCTCCTGGCAGACACTGAGAAGCTATGAAACTTATTCCTGTGATTTTCACAGTCAGAGAGGCCACCAGTGTTGTATTTATTTCCCCATTGGTGAGGCTGAAGCTGCGATGGAATATTTGAACACTAGAAATTACAGATTTGCGATTCTGTGGTTTGTCATTGCCCTATCTGTGCTTTTCCAAGCCATAGGGTTGTTAGCCATGTGGCTGGCCTGAGCTTTGCGTGGCATAGCCACCTCCACTGTCTACATAAGTGGCCAGTACAGATCAGTATTCTCTTTTTCTGTGTGACTGGATAGCTCTTCAGGCTAGGGCCTCTACAACACACATCTACATACCTGCAGCTTGGTCACTTGTAGAGCACAAGCCAATGAAGCAGAAATCATCAGTTCATTCTCATAGGAATTTGTTTACATGCCACATAGTTAAGAAATGCCACCAACTGCTTACTAGGCATTAAAAAGTAGGTGAGCAAATAGATCCTATTCTCATGGAACTTACCAGTTCAGCAACCAGGCATTAGTCAGACAACACTTGAATGAATATATAACAACTGTAAGAAGATGTGAGATCAGTCAGATGAAACCAAGACCAGACAATGCTGTTTGCCCAAGGGCATATGACAACTTAGGGGCAGAATAAAAACTAGAGTTGAGAGCCCCTGAGTTTTCTTTTTATATTACCTTTTCCCTACTGTGTCTCACAATTCTTTGGCGTAGATGAATTGCATATAGCCCCAGCCAGCTATATGAACATATCAGTCACTCAAGACATCACCCCATAATTAGTGAAACCCAAGGGGTACATTTGGAAATGATGAACTAAGTTCATGAGAGCGGTACTGACTAGGATCTTGTTTGCAGACTTAATTCAGAGTCCCAAAAAGGAACTGAAAGGCAAAGCTCCATGCTGTAGTGACACTGCCAGATAAAGGGGTGCACAGGTGCCGCAGTGTTTTGGTCTAGTTTCGGTGTTTTTCCAACTTCCAGAGCCAGCAGTCATTTATTCAACATATACTTAGTGAGTGCATACTAGCCACTAGGCTAAGAACATGAGTGACTGAGATTGGGCATGTTCAGGGTGGCAAGGCCAAATATTGGACATGACAGAATAAAACACATCACTCTCAGGAGATAGATAGATAGATAGATAGATAGATAGATAGATAGATAGATTCTCATACGAAGAGACAGACAAAAACACAAAGAATTAACACAGCATTTGAGAAAGCAATAACTGTTACAAAGAAAATAAATCAAGGCAGGAAATGACAGAATGCATTTTTTAAGTAGAGTGGTTGTTTTTCAATCATTGAGAAACTAATGTACCAGGTCAGCATGTTGCACATGCATGCATATACATGTATAGACATATATATAGTCTATATACAATAAACATGAATGCACATAAATATGTCTGTTCTTTTTAAGTGTAACAGAGAAGTACATTTAACATGCCACTTTGTTTCCAGCTCTAAAGAGCTGGTTGTATAGTGTAATTGGAAAAGACCCCAAGCCACCTTCTCTGGCACATCCAAATGCTCAAATCCTTGCTTTCCCTTTTCTCCTTTGTACTAAAGCAGTGGTTTTCAAACATATCCATATCAGAGTTACCCCAAGAGCTTGTTGAAACACAGATCCTGGGCCCCACTCTCAGAATTATGTGTTTCAGTCCATCTGGAGTAGACACATGAATTTGCATTTCTACCAAAGTCCAGGTAATACTGGTGCTGTGGTTCTGGGATCACACTCTGAGACTTACCAGGTGTTACAGTTAGGAAAACTGCCAATTAGAATAACTGATAAAAAAGGACATGCCCTTCCTTGGTTTTCCTAGATATTATCAGAGTAGCTGCTCTTGAAAAGTAAAATCCTTAAGAAGTGGAACTTCTTTTTTATGGAATATGCATCAGAACCAAAACCCAAGATCCTAAGCCTTAAAGAGGTAAAACAAGGAACACGTCCCAAACAGGAAGTAACAATGATATTTTGTCATTCTCCTACCAATACTTCATATTTTATAGCTGTAGTATGTCTGCAAGCCCTTCTGCCCTCTTTCTTCCTCCTGACCAGTCAACCTAGAACACTTTACAGATAATGGAATTGATACACAAAGCGGTATAGACTCCCCCCAATGGTCAAAAAACCATCAGCTGCCTTGCAGGTCCAGAGCTGCCCCACCCCACCCCAGGCCCTGTGCCCACCCTGACTGTCTTCATTTCATTAGCTTAAGCATTGTCTTGGGATTTCCATCCTGGGGAGTTGTTGTCCAAGACATATAATTGTTCTTTGCTTTTGATTTGTTATCCACATGAGTGATTAACTGTGGCAAGGATAGAGTCCTGTGTGAGTTCTTTGTATCATAAACTCTTCTCCTACTAGGTATTAAACGGAGAAAATGCTAACTCATTTTATTAATAGCCTGAGCTAGAGCTAATTATTACCAAAACAAACCAACCTGCTGGGAGAAAGCACACATAACACAATCCAAAGAAAAATAGAAATGGCATTTTGATTCCATGTGTCATTGCTCCCAATCCATTAATAGATACAATTGAACATTTTCTGTATCACTAACACATACAACAGAATGAATGTGTTTTCAACTGGATGGCTCATATATCATGTTCTTGGATACTCAAATTTGGCCCCACAAAAAGGAAGTAAAGGATAAAAATCTCCCTTACTAGTACTTGCTGTTTTAGTTATATACTCAAACACTCTGGTACCAGTTCCTCAAGACAGAAGAACGAGACCCCCACTGAACTTGATGAGTGGTAGCCCTGTCTGTGGATTTTAGAATTTTAATTTTAGTTTTCCCGCCTCTGTCTCCCAGATGCACTGATATTATGACAATTTCTTCCTATCCATATTGCTACTGGGACCCTCATTTATACAATAAACATTTAGTAAGCCTTAGACC